CCCTCCCCAGCTTTCCTGGAGCCCTTTCAGGCGCTGGAAGGTGCTCTAAGGTCTCCCTGGAGCCTTCTCTTCTCCAGGCTGAACACCCCAGCTCTCCCAGCCTGGCTCCAGAGCAGAGCTGCTCCAGCCCTCAGGTCAACTCTGCAGCTGAAATTAATTTTTTGCTTGACAGAAATAAAAACTACACTTACTTGTATCCTGCCTCAAAGGAGCCTGGGGTTTAAACACCAAGACCTGGGCAAGCTCATGTTTGAAGATGTAGGTGAACAGAGACACTGGTGAGAGCACCAGTAACCTGCTCTCTGCAACTGTTCCTCCTCTTTGCAGGAGGGAGAAGTGACTCCAGCAACACTGAGGGGCTGTTCTGCTATGGACACTGTCTCACCTCTGCTACTTATGGGAAATGCACCCAGTTTATGTCTCCAGGTGTTATTTCCCAACTCCCATCACCCATCAGGCTAGAGAACACAATCCCCTTCTACTGCTCCCCATTTCAGCCAAGGCACCTTTCCCCAAAGCAGGCCAAAGCAAAAAGGGATTTAAGTGCAGGCACCAAAGAACAGCCTCGTTACTTCTTGATGTTTGGGGGCTGAGGGTACCAAGCAGGGTGGGAAAAGACCAAAGAAATCTGCACAAGTATCAAACCAAACCCCAAAAGACACCAAGGGGTCCCTGTTCTTACCCTGTGATTGGGCTTTGTGACTCCATCACACAGCTCCCAAAGCTCTGCTGCAACTCCATTTAACACACTTATTGCCACCTCCTGAAACCAAGTACTAGTCAAGGTCCTAGAAGATCTCCAGGAACTCGTCTCTGCTATAGCCTCTCCTACCTCTGCTTTGAGGACAAGATGCAGACTGTAAGCTCTGGCTTGGGAAAGCACCTCAGTGCTCCAGATCTGCAAGATGGATGAGATGGGGATCCCTGGCTTGATCATTGCGTGAGATGGGTGTCACTGGCTGGAGATGGGTGTCACTCCCAGTCAGTCATACAGATAGCAGGGACTCATGGTCCCTGGAAAACCAGCTTCATCCTGGCTCAAACCAGGACAATGGTCCAGCTCCAAATCACCGTTAGAAGGTTGGCTTTATCCGTTCCCAGGGACGGAGCTCCACTCCATCAGCACAAAATGCCTCAGGGCTCTCTGAGCACTGAAGCAACAGGGAACTCCTTCAGGGACACTGTCACAACAGCAAAAAGCAACTCTGGAAAATCCAGAGGCACAAACCTCCCTGTTCAATGGAGGAAATCAAAGGCTACAATCAACCCAAATAATCACAACTGAGATGGAACGGACCAGGAACAGCTTTGCTTGGCCTTTTCCAGCTCTTGCTGGCTTTTCATTTGAGGCTTATTCAACTGAAGGGAACAGGGTTTTGAAGGAGAATCCTTCTGAAACTGCTTGGACCATCAAGTCCCATCTTCAGGACCAGCTGGAGCAATGAAGAACTTTGCATCCAGCCACTGACAACCCCAGTGGTGCTACAGTGAGGACTACGGCCAATGCAGCCATTTATCAACTTAATAAGGCACAAAGGGAGATGGCTTTGAGGGAGGATGATAAACGAGGGGAAAAAAAAGATGGGAGAAAGTGTCCCAGCAGCTGCTTTTGAACTGGTTTAGAAAAGAAAATGCGTCACCTCCGATTTCTGGAACATCCTTTGCCAGCGACTCATGGAGCATTCCTGACATTTACAGCTGGCTGTAAACAACTGCCTGGATATTCTCTCCCTTGAGACAGATGAGATTGCTCAAAAAAAAAAAAAAAAAAAAAAAAGCAGCTGAAGTGTCTAGAAAAACATTCTGAGAGAGGAAAAAACCCAGCAAAAAAATATACAACGGCATTTTAAAACCAGTGGTTTAAACGCACTTTTAACAGCATCAGTTTGGCCAGTATGTTGGAGAGAGGGACAGGCTGTGGGTGCAAAATTTGAGGAAAAAAGTCATGCCAGGAAGGGGGGATTTAAGAACAATGAGCAGATTTGGCTAATGAGAAGTAAATCTTGAGTGACCAACACGGACATCCAAACCCAATGTCCTGGCAAAGGAAACTTCATCCCTGCCAGCTCCTCCAGAAAGGGTCACGTGAAACAACATAGAATTGGGAAGGGAAAACAAAAATCATAGAATCACAGGGGTTGGAAGGGACCTCTGAAGATCAAGTCCAACTCCCCTGCTGCAGCAGAAACACCCAGGGCAGGTCACACAGCAACGTCTCCAGATGGGTCTTGAAAGTCTCCAGAGAAGGAGACTCCCCAGCCTCTCTGGGCAGCCTGTCCCAGGGCTCTGTGACCTTCACACAGAAGAAGTTTCTCCTCACGTTGAGGTGGAAATTCCTGTGTTGTCAGGATCACTCCTCACATTATATTTAGGAAGTATTTCCTGGAAGCAGCAGGCTGCTCAGAAGCAAAGCTTGCTCCAGCCATAGATGGTTTGTAAAATCTCCAGATACACCCAAATCTTGCAGAATGACTCTACATCAGAAACACTTCCACAAGCTCAGCAGGACAGATGTTTGCTGCCTCCTCCCTGCAGACACCAAAGCCAGAGAGGGAGCTGGGTGGCTGGGTGGTCACAGTGGCAAGGACTGCCCAGAACAGTGGAAGGGGAAGATTTTACTGGATATGGGAATTGTTTTCTGCTTTGTGGTGTTTATCTGAAAATAATTGCTGGGCTTGATGCCAGTTTTCCATCTTTTGTCCTGACTCCCGAGGCGGTTCCAACACGGGCCTCCCAGGCAGGTCTTGGAGCAGATGTTACCAAGTCCTGAGCTGAGGGACAAGAAGCTTTCCATAAACTTTGGGGTCTGACATTCACCTCTTTCCCATAAACCTTGTTATTCTGTCTCTTCTACACTGCAGGACTTGGAAAGAGGTTAAAAAAACCGAAATTATACCACCTGGAGCACTGGGTTCAGTTTTGGTCCCTGCTCCATAAAAAGGATGTTGGACAGGCTGGAGAGGGTCCAGAGAAAGGTCAGGACGGTGATCAGAGGACTGGAGGACCTGCCATGTGAGGAGAGGCTGAGAGAGCTGGGTTTGTTCAGCCTGGAGAGGAGAAGGCTCAGAGGAGACCTTATTGCCATGTCCCAGGCCATAAAGGGTGGCTGCCAAGAAGATGGAGACTCCCTTGTGCCAAGGAGAAGGAAAAGCCAAGGGGTGATGGGTACAAGTTGCTCCTGGGGAGATTCCCATTGGACTCCAGGAGAAAATGTTTCCCCATGAGAACAGGTGGACATTGGACTAATCTCCCCAGGGAAGAGGTGGATTCCCGCACATGGGACAGTTGGAAATCTCAGCCTGACAGGTGCTGGGCCACCTCATTTCAACTGGATGATTACCTGGAAAGGTTGGACTGGATGATCCCTGAGGTCCCTTCCAACCTGGCATTCTGTGACACTCAGATAATACTCCAACCAACCCACAAAACCTGGACAAGCTGAGCAGCCATGGACAGCTCTGATTTCATGCACAATTATCCCTCATCACAACTCCTGCACCAGCCTGGCCTGCTGCCCAGGTCCCTCACTCTGCCACCAGCTCCACCTCAGATCTCCAGCAACATCCTCACCTCCTGCAGACCAGCTGATAGATGAGCACCAGGGACACCCACAAGAACCAAAGCTGCCTCTTTACCTCCAGATTCATTTATATTATAGCAGCAATTCCTGAATTCTTCCAAACCATGTATGAACTTGGAAGCCTGGAAAGCCAGAAGCTGCTGGCTGCCAAGTGCTTGTCTTTTAAAAAAAGAAACAGCCATGGATATAAAATACAACACAAACCTAAATTCAGCCTCTCTTAACAACTTCAGTGCAGAGATAACAGGGACTGCAGGGTCTGGCAGGCTGCAGCAACACCTGAGGCCAGGGCTGCTGGCCCAGCCCACATGCTCTGCTCCTGTTTCCCAGCCCAGGAAGGGGCCAAATGCTGCCAAACCATTCTGGAATGCCACCAGAGCCACAGAGTGGTGGGGCTTGGAAGGGACCTCTGGAGATCATCTAGTCCAACCCCCTCCCAGAACAGGATCCTCTACAGTAGATCCCACAGGAACAGGTCCAGATGGGATTTGGAATGTCTTCAGGGGTAGAGACTCCACAACTCTGGGCAGCCTGTTCCAGGGCTCTGGTACCCTCAGAGTCAAAAAGTTTATCCTTGTGTTTAACTTGAACCTCCAGTTTGTGCCCAAATTATCAGACCAAATTTCACCTGCCCAAAACCAGGGCACGAGGTGAAGGAGACAAGGGAAAACCTGACCTACAGGATGAACATGGCCAAGGGGTCCTAAGGCAGGAGATAACATTTGGTTTGACAAACACTTCAGAAAGCTGTGCCAGCCTCTCCATGACTATTGCTATTTTGGAACACACAAAGCCCAACATCAGGCACAAAGTGAAAAATTCTTTTGACACCCTGGCATGTATTTCTGGGAAGATGTGCCCCTCCAGTCACTTGGGGGGGAGCTAAAAGAAACATTTCTCATGTTGTCTAAAGTTTCTTCACCTTTAACTCTCCCTGCCCTGTGACCAACACCAGGGATGCTCTGCCCTCCCCAGAGGCCACAGTCTGGTGTCATTTCAGGGCTCCCTCTTTCCTGCAATGCTTACATAAAAGTGCTCCTCAGCAATTTTTGGACTGGAACAAATGTTGGAACCATTCTGGGATGGAAAAGAGATAAACACAGGCAAGCTTATGGGGGGCAAACCCCAGTTCAGGCCCTGATTTCTATTTAAATGGGTCAGACCTGTGTAACTTATTAGAGATCACTTGCTTGCAGTTCATATTGTATCATTAAATGCTTTGGCTTGGAAGAGACCTTAAAGACCATCTAGATCCAACCCCCCTGCATGGGCAGGGACACCTCCCACCAGCCCAGGCTGCTCCAAGCCCCATCCAACCTGCCCTTCAACACCCCCAGGGATGGGGCAGCCACAGCTTCCCTGGGCAACCTGGGCCAGGCTCTCACCACCCTCACAGCAAAGAATTTCCTCCTCATGTCCAACCTCAATCTTGCCTCTTCCAATTTCAATCCATCCCTCTCATCCCATCCCTCCCTGCCCTTGTCCCAAGTCCCTCCCCAGCTTTTCTGGAGCCCCTTCAGGCACTGGAAGGTGCTCTAAGTTCTCCCTGGAGCCTTCTCTTCTCCAGTCTGAACACCCCAGCTCTCCCAGCCTGTCTTCATAAAAGAGGGACTAAGTTAAAGAGAGAGAAGGAAGAAGGAGAAGACCAGCTTGTCCTGTAAAAATGAGTTTTCATACCCAGGGTAGAAAAACAGGGATATCAAGTGCTGGATTTGATGGTTCAGTACCAACTTGCTCCAAAGGGTAGGTGCATTTTGGTGCCTGCAACACTGTCACCTGCTGTCCCAGTCCCAGTGCACACACCTGGGGGTGCTCAGAGATGTCCCTGGCAGTGAGTGGGACAAGAGGCCATTGACAGAGAGGGGGACACAGACATGGGCCTGGGGGAGCAGCTGTGCTGGAGTCCATTTAATGCATGTTAAACCTACTCACAACATCTTCAGGTGACAGAGATGTTTAAGCTTTGCACAAAGATCCAGAAAAAGCCACAGTCCTGCTTCAAGTGGGAGATGGGACCAGATGGTCTCCAAAAGGTCCCTTTTCAACCATTTCTAGACACTGCACCAGTCTAGAGAGATATCTGCACAAGTTTTCACTGAGGGAAAACCTTGAATTCTATGAGAGGGCTCTAAAAGAGTAACATTTTCAGTCCATTTTAGAATCTGATACAAATTATCCCCAGGGATAACTCCTTTTACTTTCAACCAGCAAGTGCTTCTGTTTGGATCTGAGACACCTGAAGCATCAGAGGAAGGTTCTTTCCCTCTTTCCTGGAGCTGTGCTTCTCTGGGGCTTTGTCTGCCTCTAGCAGATACTCCAGAAAAAAAACCAACACAACCTCAGCAGGCTCAAAGTTTGCAGGACACACTCAGGAGTGAAGGATGGACACAAGGGTCTGGGTAGAAACCTGGAATGCTGCAACATGGGGAGTAAATGGGAAGTAACCAGTGGTGTCAGCTCTGCATTCCCACCCAAAGCCCAGAACATGAAAGCAGGACACACATCTTTAGCTACAGCTACAAGATTTTAGTGTGGGAACAGACTTGGCACACTCCATCCTCTCTCCTTTTAAAAATCCCCCTTCAAACGTGTATTCTCAGATGGGAGAAGACAATGGAAGCTCTTCAAGAAACTTTTTCCATCTATGCCATTTTTACTCAAATCAGCAAAATTCATTGAGATCCTTTGCACACTGGCATTTTTTTTTCCCCAATTAAACTTGTTCGTGTCCTGTAGGACACACCACACAGGAGCTCTGGAAGAGCCATGGGATGCTCTGCTCTGGTTCTGTGCCATTGCTGTGGCTGTTTGTCCAAATCACAGAATCATTCTGGTTGGAAAAGACCTTTAAGATCGAGTCCAACCACTAACCCAGCTCTAATGAGTCCACAACTAACCCATGTCCCTCAGCACCACATCTACACTGCTCTGAAGCACCTCCAGGGATGGGGACTCCCCCTCTGCCCTGGGCAGCCTGGGCCAGGGCCTGACAACCCTTGCCAGGAAGGAATTGTTCCCAAGATCCAACCTAAACCTCCCCTGGTGCAACTCAAGGCCGTTCCCTCTTGTCCCATCCCTTGCTCCTGGGGAGCAGAGCCCGACCCCCCTGGCTCCAACCTCCTCTCAGCAGCTGCAGAGCCAGCAGGTCTCCCCTCACCTCCTTGTCTCCAGGCTGGACACCCCCAGCTCCCTCAGCTGCTCCTGCTCAACTTGTGCTCCAGCCCCTTCCCCAGCTCCCTTGCCCTTCCCTGGACACGCTCCAGCCCCTCCATGTCCTTCTTGTTCTGAGGCGCCCAGAACTGACCCCAGGATTTGAGGTGTCCCCTCCCCAGTGCTCAGCACAGGGGGATGATCCCTGCCCTGGTCCTCCTGCTGGCCACCCCAGTGCTGACACAAGCCAGGATGCTGGTGGCCTCTTGGTCACACTTTCACATGCCACTTCTCAACATGCATTTTTCCTTTCTTCAACCTCCATCCACACCCACAGAGCCCTCTCAGTCTAAGAGCATCTTCCTGACAACACACATGGGTGAGAGGTGGTTCACAGCTCTAGGTGCTTGGAAACAACATTTAGGATGTAAGAACTTGAATACAACTATTTTTAACCAGTTTCACCTCAACAAATCTCAATTAATTCCCTTAGCAACACATTGTTCAAATGTTCCACTGGAGGAGAATTCCCTCCTCTCCTGCTTCTGCTGACTGCTGGTGTCCATGCCAAAAATATTCAAACTAAAACAAGAAAGGGGGGGTGGGGGGGAGGGGAACCAACCATAATTACTAAAAATAATTCAGGGAGGAAATATCCATCAACAGACCTTGCTTGGTGTTGCTGGTGGGAGCGCCGGGGGTGCTGGCAGCGAGGGGGGGGTTCTCCACAGTCCCATAAACCACAGGGCTGTGCTCAGGGACCTGGCTGGGCAGCTGCTGGGATTTGAAGTAGAAAAAAAGGGTGATAATGAGCACGGGAACATAAAAACTAGCAAAATGGAGCACAAACAAGTGGGGGGAACCGGAACGGGGTGGGATAGAGAAGAAAAGGCAGGAGAAAGAAAGAGGGAAGAGAGACAGAGTGGTCAGATTCAGAAGGTACAAGGGAAAGGGAGGGAGGAAAAGGCAGCAGGAAAAGGGGGGAAAGAGACAATTCTTGTAAACAATAGCAAGAAAGAGACAGGGGAGCAGAGTTATTAACACACTTGATTCTCCAGGTGCTTCTTCCAAGAGCAGCTGAAATGCTCCTCTGCAGTCTGCAAAAAGTCAGATAAACACTCAAAGATGCCTGGACCTCTGTAGTTTCAGTTTGCTGTCTGGACTTGACTCCATTCTTAACTGCTCAGTTATTTCAAACACCTTTGATATTTTTAGATATAGTTATTTTCTTTTAATATATCTATTTATATTTCACTTCTTTATTTATATTTAATATCTTTATATAGAGAGAAGGGGTGTGAACAGTGTATCTGTGGCATTCTGTGCACACACATTATACTTGTTATTGCAGCAGGGAAATACGCCAGGCTGGTTTATTATACCTGTGTAGTTGTATGAAAAAAACACCCAATGCCTTCTACAAACAGACTTACAATGGTACCTGCTGGGTAATAAGAGAATAAAACCCATTTTGTATCAAGCTAAAGGAGAGCAGGAGGATCCTGCTCCCAACCAACATGGAGCAAGCTGGAGATTTTCTATCTAATGAAACCAAAAGTCATGACATGACCTCTTCATGACTGAAGAGGTCATGGCCTGCTGCAGTGACCAGACAGTTTAATTATGTCCCAACCATTATTGGGAGGAACTCTGCACTTGTGTTCATCAAGGTTTGATAAAGACAAAAAAAATGCCTTGTATTTTACCTTGGAATTTGAGGAAGAACTTGTGTCAGACTAAGGAACGACACCAAACTCCAAGGCAGGGGTTAAGCACTTGTGGACTCTCAGGTGAACACAGATGGGGCAGGTCAACTATTCACATCTGCAAAACCCCTTAAACACCTATCAGGGACCATGCAAAGGAGAAAATGGGGCTAAATTTAAGACTCTGCAGTGGAAAGCCAGGCTGGTTTTTGCAGGTGGCTGCTCTCACGGCATCACAGAACGCTCAGAATTGGAAGGAACCTCTAGAGATCATCCAAGTCCAACTGTCCTGCTAAAGCAGGATACCCTGGAGCACATTCCACAGGGCTGCATCCAAGTGGGTTTGGAATATCTCCAGAGAAGAAGCCTCCACAACCTCTCTGGGCTCAGGGGTTCCTGACCTCTCATCCAGCTCTACCACAGGAAGAGGGATTTTTTACAACCACAAGAAAGCAGAGAACCCATGACATGGGTATCCAATTCCTTCCTCTGGACATCAGAAATCCATGCAGAACTCGTTTCCCTAAAAAAAAAAAGAAACTCTCTGGCAACCTGCTACTTTTCCCAGGACTCTCTTTTTCTCCCATTTCCAGCTTTTCCAGCAAGTGCAGTGAGGACAAGAATGAGTTACCTTCACCGCATTATTTTTGCCACCATTTCAGGTAAAGGGGGACTGTGGCAAAAACACAGCTGGAAAATATCAAAGCAGCTAAATAAGCTGGGGAAGGGTTGGAATTTTCTTTGGGATTGCTCCTCTTCCAGGAACAAGCCTGGTGGGATCAGCTGGATGATGGATGGGTGAGGAATTGCATCCCCACCTCCAGCCAGAGCTGAAGGAAGCCAAAGAAAACAAGAGGTTGCCAAAGGAGCAGGTTTCATGAAGGCTTTGTCAGCAGATCATCAGTTTGATGAAAAAATATATGGACCAAAGTGAGGAAAAACAAGAGAATGCGACAAGAATCACAGGAAGGAAATGAGAGGAGTGGACAAGAAACCTACAAGCCTGGAAGGTCTTTGGGTCAGGAAAGATGCTTCAAAATGGGGAAAATACCACATTTGTTTTCTGGGAATAAGAACACAAACCAACAGAAATGGTATTGAAACATTGGCCTTCACAGGCTCTTGGCCTCAAAATGGAGCATTTAGAGACTTTCTAGGAAAACCACTCAGAAATGCTCTCATGATTTCTGATGTTAGAGCTCCTCTGTGTTCTTTTATCCCACCACGACCCAGAAAACACAAAACGTGACAAACTCATGGATAACTGGAAGAGGTTGGCCAGGAAAAGAAGAGCATTTCTTACTCTTTAAAAGGTGATGATCTAAGTCAGTGGTAAGCAAATCCTGCAGCCAGATTCAATAGTGGCCCTGGGTTTTATTTATCTTCCCAGCAAAAAATGGAGTGGAAAATAGTGTCCTGCTAGAAATGTATAAATAATATCTCCACTTACTGGCAGCTTCTCTTGTGGAGGAACTTTAAAGCATTTTAACAATGAAAAAAAACAACAAACCACTGTGGAGGTGCTGGGAAGACTCCACCAGAAGCACTTTGTGGTAAGGGATGTTGACTGCAAAGCAGGAGATACAAAAAGCACAGGATGGACTAAACCCATGGCTTCAGTCTTGGGGACCTGGAGCATGTTTTGGATAAGCCAAACATTTTTTTATATTAAGCACTTCATCTTCTCAGAGGTGCTTTGGGTTTGTGTTACCCAAGTTTTGGACTTTCCTTGGGTCAGTTGTAAAAATAATCCAAATCGACAGGTAAAGAGAAGTTTGAAACTTATTACTATTTTAACATGACTTGTTTTTCCAATGTGGAATTGAGGACAGGGACTGGTCTACAGTGATGGCTTCTGGCCATTTCTTGAGCAAGTTTCTACCTCTCTGATTGTGTTCTCCAAATAATGAGGTTACAGAATCAGTCAACATAAAAGAATTGTCACCAGAATCTAATATACTTTTAAAATATCAATGGATTGGGCATCACTTTCATGAGATGATGCCTTGTCAAGCCTAGAGTTGGCACGTTCACATTTTGAGTGCTGAGCTAGATGAAATCCCATCAAAGTCCTCCATCTGCAGGGTTTGGTTCAAAGGGAACAAGACAACAGAAAAGCTGCTCCCCTTGCACTTCTCCCAGGAGCTGCCCTAAACCACCAGCAGGTGTTTTTACATGAAGCTCCCAGGGACTGTTCACAGCTTTTATCAGCTGGAGAGGAGAACAAAAAGCTCTGGCATGTTTCAAGTAAAGTTATGGCTGAATATTTCAAGTTTACTGATTTTAGACTCTTGAAAATTATAACATCCACCACGACTGGAATGGAGCCACCGAACACAGTGATTAAGGCATCATCTAATTTCATCCAAGGTACCACACTTGCTCCAAAGGAATGAATCAGAGATGCTGCTGCAACAAGAACTTTGAATTTCCTGAATTAAGTGGGTTTCAATTTTCAGTTATGTTGCATTAATGAACTTTTTCTGGTGAGCTCTATTTCAGGGTTCTTCTGTGATTAACAAAAGTGGTTCCAAGTACCTAATCAAAAGGAAGCCTGGATATTAAACAATGAAGTATTTGCATACCTTAGAGTAGATGATTGGACATCACTGCTGTGCTCTGCATAAAAATTAGAGCTGATAAAAATTCATGCTCGTTAACCTCCTCTTGAAAAGCATTTATTTCATCCTGTTTGACTTTATTGTAATATCTTCAAATAGATTTCAGAAAGCTGAAGTGAGCCAGGATTCACTGCGCCAGACAGTGAGAAACATGGAATGGTTTGGGTTTGAAGGGACCTTAAAGCCCATCTAGATCTAACCCCTTGCATGGGCAGGGACACCTCCCACCAGCCCAGGCTGCTCCAAGCCCCATCCAACCTGCCCTTCAACACTGCCAGGGATGGGGCAGCCACAGCTTCCCTGGGCAACCTGGGATGGGGTCTCACCAGCCTCACAGCAAAGAATTTCTACTTAATGTCTCATCTGAATCTTCCTTCCTGTTTTTTCCCCTCTTCAAGTAGTTGAAGATACATAATCAATCACATGCATCACACAGACTTTCCTCATGTGCTTGAGACACAAATGGAAACATCACATTTCTTCCCAATATATTAGCTCCTCCTTTAACACCAGAAATCTTGACCAGCTCCAAAAACACCTGCTGCTCCAAACTCAGGGATGGGGAGCTCAAGGTTGCAGCTTCACATTGGACAAGCTACAGGCTGGTAAAAATGACCAAACTTGCAGAAAAATAATAATCCTTGAAGAACACAAGACAATTTAGGACCATCCAGGAATCTGAGGTGATGGGTGGTGAGGACAGAAGATACACAAGAATTGCCTCTAACAAACAGCAAAGCAAAGCAGATATCACCAGGAGGAGACTATGTGGCCACTTCCTTACCTGAGGTGGAGTAGGTGTGGAGGTGGGTCTCACAATGGGAGGTGTTGGGTTCCTGCTGCCCCCTCCAGACATGATTTCTTCTGTTATATCCTTGCCCCCCTGGTTTGGATCCCGGATTCTGATCTATGATATTGAACAAAGAGAAAATTCAAACAAGTCTTCCTGCTGCATGGTCCTTGGGGAGCATGGACAGGAGAGCATTCCATGACACCTGGTAGGAGATGCTCTGGGCTGGGGCTGATGCTCTAGGTTGGGGCTGATTCCCTGCAGGAACATTGGAACGTGGTTTGTTTGGTTAACTTGATCTGCACAGTCTGTCATCCCTTCTTCTCAACCTCAAATTGAATCCAAAGACTCCTCAGCCACACCAGTCAGGTCTATGTGCAGCCCAGTGCACGACCTTGAGATTCAGAATCTTCTGAAAAGAAGTTTACTGCAACTTAAGAACATTTAACAGCCAGTTTAGCTACAGAGCTAAGCTTACCAGTTGGTGGGAAGTGCAAGGGGAAAAAAATACGGAAGACCCATCCTGCCCCTGCTGGGAAACCCAGTGACCTTGCCAACCCAGCTGCTGGGGAAGTGGCAAAGCAAAGCAGTTCTTTTTGTCTTTTCCCTTCCACACTGAGAAGAGTCATCCCAACAACCAGAAGGAAACAAAAAATCCTGAGGGGAGAACAGGGAAACCACCAGAAGAACAAACTAAAGTCTTATCAGACTCATCAGCATTTAGGAAACAAGTGTTTTAAGTCTCTTCAGAGCCCCAAAATGGGAAGGGAAAATATTGTCCAAAATGAAGCAGTAGAGAACACACTCATTTGAATCCTCAACTGAAACTTGAGCCAATCTGTGTCACTGTCTGTTGGGGACAGTCTGGGTTAATCTGGATAGAGTATTTTCATCTTCAAGATGCACAATTACAAGCAAACCCAGAGCCAGAATCCCTCTAAGGGCAGGGACTCACTGGAACCCACTCTGCTTTTTTCCATCAGCCACATGCAAAGCCATTATCTGCAGAAGAGTGTGGGATTTACCAACTTGACTGTGAGGCCTTCTTGACAGTTTGGGTTCTGAAGACAAAAGAATGTACACACAGCACCTGGGATACTGACAAGATGTGGTCTTCTCTGATTTTTAATGGAGTAAAAAGAAGAAGCTAGTGGGGTGGGTTTTTTCTGCTAAAATGTATTAATTAACCACAGCAAAAAGGTCTTCAAAGCTGGCAGGAATTCCCACCCTCTCCTCCTGACAAGCAATGAATGACATTAAAACAAGCCTTCCCAGCCCTGAAGTTTGTAGTCCTGAAATACTCAGCCAATGGTGCATGCAGGTGTGGACACTTAGAGATTTAATTCTTCTTTAATTTCTCTCATCTCTTCAGGTCCAACACCCATGAGCAAACAAACAGGACACCCAAAGCAAAGCACTTCAGGCTTTTAAAAACTCTTTTGCTTTTCTGTTTCCAAGAACTTAGCTCCACTAGCATGGAACTGTCTTCACCACAGCTGAGTGTTTCTGATCATCTTTGCTTTTCTGGTCTGGCCAGGCCCTGGTGTGGGTGCTGAAAAAGGACCCTCAGGACGGAAGGGGTGGCAGAAGAGTTGTCACCCTTTGCTAATAGAAGCTACAAAAAAGGCCTCTCTCAAAGCCAACACACTGTTCAGCTCCTCTGGTTTCCCAAACCAAGAGTCATCTCAAATCATCTTTAAAAATAAAAATATACAAATATTCTGCAGTTTGAGACAAGTACAAGTACTTTCCCCCCCCCTCCAGTTCTTCTAATATTGTCAAACCACTGACACACGTAGTGACACGATTTCCTTTTCACTCATTTGGAACCAGCTCTTCATTCACAGGCCCAACTCCACCTCTCATTTTTTCTGTTTAAATGTGACAATCACATGGCTGGTCTTTAGGATTCCCTACCTGCAAATGGATTTATATTCTATTAATCCTTGTGTCTCAAATTCTGACCAGTGAATTATGAAGAGAGGGAATATTGTCTCCAACCTCTGCCTATTTTGACCATGTCCTGTGATCAGGTTCTTTCAAAACTGGGTAAAAACCACCCCAACTTACTGTTTTTCTACCTTTTCCAAGGCCTAATATTGAATGATTTCTTTTTCTGTCAATGGGAACCCATTCCCAACACTCTCCCAAACTGTTATGAGTTTGTTCACTCCCACCTGGCTCTTTGGGAAATCTCTGAGCAGCAGCACAAGCAGATGAGGTTCCCAGGCTTGGGGAGATGCTGCTGCTTTCATGGAATCATGGAATCACAGGGTTTCGAAGGGACCCCTGGAGATCATCAAGTCCAACCCCCCTGCCAGAGCAGGACCAAATATAGGGCAGGTCACTCAAAAAGACATCCAGATGGGTCTTGAAAGTCTCCAGAGAAGGAGACTCCCCAGCCTCTCTGGGCAGCCTGTCCCAGGGCTCTGTCACCCTCACAGCAAAGAAGTTTCTCCTCATGTTGAGGTGGAATTTCCTGTGTTATCACTTGGTGCCATTGCCCCTCGTCCTACCACAGGCACCACTGAACAGAGACTGGCCTTTAAGACTTCATGTCTAAAGAGGCAAAAATCTTTTCCTTTTTGACTGGCTGACAAGTCACAAACCCAGAGCAGAAAATCCCCACAGAAAATTGAACAGAAGACAAACACCCCAGCTTTGTGTCATGCTTAATTAGGCTTGGGTGTGAAAATCAAGGCTCAGCCTCTCTGTGAAGGTCCACCTTAGTTTTAAGCTTAAGATTAATTCTCCTTCAGCCCCAGGAGCAGGACAATTCCCAGGAGGGATCTATCAGTCAATGTTGAGCACTCACCGTTTTCTTCTCTCTCTTGGCTGGTGGAGGCTGCTGCTGCTGTGTAGGCACTATGATGGGTGCTGACTGATACACTGGCTGACTTGGGTAGAAAGGTGTTCCTGGGACAGGAGAAGACAGAAACCACGAGGGAAAAATTCAGTTCATTTGTTAATGGAATAAAACCAAGCATCAGAGGTAATCCTGGCCAACTCTCCTTTCAAAAACCAGAGCTTCCAACATCCAGCTGGTCTCTGCTCTGTGTGTTGCTCCCTCCCCACTGTGACTAAAACAGAAGCTGCTGCTCCATCAACAGAAGCAATTAAATCCCTGCTTCACAGAGTCACAGAATCATTCTGGTTGGAAAAGACCTTTAAGATCAGCAAGTCCAACCATTAATTTAACTCTGCCAAGTCCAGATCTAACCCATGTCCCTCAGCACCACATCTACATGGCTCTGAAACCCCTCCAGGGATGGGGACTCCACCACTGCCCTGGGCAGCCTGGGTCAAGGGCTTAACAACCCTTTTGGGGAAGAAAGGTTCCTAAAATCCAGCCTAAACTTTCCCTGGAGTAGCTTGAGGCCATTTCCTCTGGTCTATCCCTTGTTCCTGGGGAGCAGAGCCCGACCCACCTAGCTCCAACCTCCTCTCAGGCAGCTGCAGAGCCAGAAGGTCTCCCCTCACCTCCTTGTCTCCAGGCTGGACACCCCCAGCTCCCTCAGCTGCTCCTGCTCAGACTTATCATCAAGACCCTTCCCCAACTCCCTTGCCCTTCATTTCTTTTCTCCATAAACAGAAAAAACACCATCACACACATCCATTTCTGAGAGGCTGGAATCACCAGGGCCTGAAAAGTGGCCCATCCTTGGACACCTCTGACTGACAAACAGGGGCCTTTGTTGCTTGGGACTGTTGGGGTTTTTCTGCCTTTGTAGAGAAATTCAGCCAAACCATTACAAAGAATTTGCAAGGTCAACTGCAACCTATTTTGAACCACAGCCAGAAAATTTAATTACAAGCCTTGTTCTTCTTATGCTGCAACAAAAAAGCCTGACCATGGTTATTATTGCAAAATGATGCTGCGTTGTTGGTTACATTCCTGATATCCAACTGAACTAACCTTTACATGGGAATGAAAATCTGTGACCAAAATGAGACGTTAGGACTATCTCAAGCACATAGTGAGAACCAAGGAAGCCCAGCCCAGCACAAGCTGATTTGTAACTTCAGAGGATGGATTCCTCAAGCTGAGGAGGAAAAGCTCAGACCAAGAACTTTCCCTTGCTGACACAGCAGGCAGATGCTGAGAGAGGAGAACATCTCAGGGCACTGCCACCCAGCTGCTGAGAGCTCAGTCTGCTGGAGTCACTCTGGGATGCTGCAGTTCAGGAGGTCTAAATGACTCAATAAATGTGTCACTTTGAGCTTCATGGCAGGCAGTGTGACTTCAGACCTGGGCTCAGAGAACAAAAGTAGACCTGTGGAGCAGCTCCAGGCTGAGAGAGCTGAGGGTGTTCAGCCTGGAGAAGAGAAGGTTCCAGGAAGACCTTAGAGCACCTTCCAGTGCATGAAGGGACTCCAGGAAAGCTGGGGAGGGACTTTTCACCAGAGAGGGCAGTGAGAGGACAAGGAGGAACAGTTTATACTGGAAGACGGGAGATTGAGACGAGATATTAGGAAGTTCTTCACTATGAGGGCAGGAAGGCACTGGAACGGTTGCCCAGGGAGTCTGTGGCTGCCCCATCTCTGGAAGTGTTCAAGGCCAGGCTGGATGAGGCTTGTGCGGCCTAATCTGGTGGTAGGTTTCCCTGCTCATAGCAGAGGGGTTGGTACCTGATGATCTTTAAGGTTCCTTTCAACCTCAACCATTCTGTGATTCTATAAAAGTCTTTTGTCAGCTTCCCCAGGGCTTGGGAAGCCAGACCCTTCCTGCCTTACTCCTGAAAAGCAGTGTTGAAGCCTCAAATTCTTCAAACTAATGCTTTGGCCAAGATGGCCAGGTGTACAACAGGAGCTTGAGAGGACAGGAGCAGGGCTGGGAGCCCTGCAGTGTGCTCATTATCTTGATTTCTAGTTTCCTAGAAACCAGATTTACTCAGACAGCCCGCAAGTTGAGCCCTGCAGAGGAACCCAAGGAAGGGCTTTTCCTTTATGAAAAAAACTTTAAGGGAAGCAAATCCCTAAAAGCAAGAGTGGCTTCTGGGAGGAAACAGCTTCTGTGGCAACAAGCCAAGCACATTTTTCCACGTGATGATATGTTCTTTGCTCTGCACCCTGCCTTTTGATCCCTTCCAGTTCAGAGGCACCCAAGTTTTCTCCTCCCTCCTTTTCATTCATCCCTTCAAGGCCTTTCCCCATATAGCAAGGAAACTTGATACAAAAGAGAATGAGAAATAGTAAAATTGAGACAGTTTCAAAAAATAAAATAGGTCCTGTCCCTGTTCACAAGTTTTGTCTCCTGCAGGATTTTCCCTTATCACCTTTACAGCCTGCCAAGCTGTGAGGATTGTGATGCTCAGCAGCCACTCTGGCTAAAAAGTCCTGAGTCCTGGCCCTGCCAGCAGCATCAGCCCCCCCTGTATGATCAAGGTCGTGCCCCCCAGGGCCAGGAGCAGGGCCTGGTGACAGATGGGACATCTTCAGGCTCTATATAAAAGAGAGAGCAACAGGAGGGAAAGCTGGATGAGCACAGGCAAATCCACAGTCCCTCTTCCTGGGCTAAACCTGGAAAATGCTCTGTGTGACTGAGGGCTCCAGCTTCACCCACTGATGCTCCACCTAAAAACAAGCTGGGGCTGAAAGATCACGAGCCCCTGTGCAAGAAACCAGGAGCTTCCAGGAAAGGAACTGGAAGGGACTTTTCTTCCAAAATACAGAAGTGAAGACAGATCAATGACATTAAGCAAGAAGAAAATAAGAAAGCAAACCTGTAAAAGCAGGGAAAAAAATGAGGAACAGGGGGTAAAATTTCCTCATTTAGCAGATCAGGTTTAAAGAGCCACTTTGGTATTTCTTCTCTTTATTTTTTCTTGGATAAGCAAACAGGAACCAGCTGCCTTGTAACTGCTCTCTCTCCTCTTATTCAGAAATGGCATGGTCAGTTTTGAAGGCTTCATGGCAACCTTTCAGAGTAGTTCCACTAGCTTTATAGAGACCAAATAAATACATAAAAAAAGAAAGATGGGGGGGGCGGGGTTTGAGGGAAATAAAAAGAGGCCAGACCTTTAAAAATTATAAGTTGGGAAGCAACTGGGGCTTTTCAGAGGGATCTCTATTTGTGAAGAGCAAACATATAATTCTGCCCAGGGCACAGGGATGTCATTGTTCCTCCTGGAAGGTAAATCATTCCCTTCTAACTCAGAAATAGCAGCAGCTAAAGCCACATGGAAAGCTGAGAGTATCTCTGCCCCCAGGAGATCACAGAATGTGTGTGGGCAGGCAGCAATCAGCCTGAACCAAACACCTCAGAGCTTGATAAGGGGAGGTGAAAACCCTGTAAGAAAAGCATACAACAGGGTGGTGACTAGAATCATCTCAGGGGATTTTTCAAATGTTCCCATAAATGAGCAAGAGAAGGTAAATAAAACATTTTTACAAAGTGACTGTAAGATACCTGATTCTGCACCCATTCAAATTCAGCTTGCAGGAGCTGATGTGCTTGAAATATCAAAATATAGATCCCCCAGAAAACCTTATAGGGACTGTGATGGGAGTTATGATGTGTGTGGTACATGGCAGCACACTGGGAATGACTAAGAAATTAATTAATTACTTTTACGGAAAAGATGGTTGCAAAGAGAAGAGGAGTCATGGGATGCTGATGGTTGTTCAGCCTGGAGAAGAGAAGGCTTCAGGGAGACCTTAGAGCACCTTCCAGTGCCTGAAGGGGCTCCAGGAAAGCTGGGGAGGGGCTTGGGACAAGGGCAGGGAGAGATGGGATGAGAGGGATGGATTGAAACTGGAAGAGGCAAGATTGAGGTTGGACATGAGGAGGAAATTCTTTGCTGTGAGGGTGGTGAGAGCCTGTCCCAGGTTGTCCAGGGAAGCTGTGGCTGCCCCATCCCTGGCAGTGTTGAAGGGCAGGTTGGATGGGGCTTGGAGCAGCCTGGGCTGGTGGGAGGTGTCCCTGCCCGTGAAGGGGGTTGGGACTGGATGGTCTTTAAGGTCTCTTCCAAACCAAAGCATTCCATGATCCTATGATTAATTACTTCTATGGAAAAGATGCCAAGAGAACAAGTATCATGGGAAATTGAAGGACACAGGGTCTGCAAACTGGGACCAAAGTGAGAGGCAGTTGTGAAGTCCTGGATGAGTGCAGGCCTGGTGAGATGCAGGCAGGAGGGATGCCCAGAACTGCACATGCAGTCTGTCAAATTTTAGGCACTGCTTTGAAGCTCAGTACCTGGAGGAGTCAATCAAATACACTGAATGCAGCCAAACAACCCCAGCACACACCACACTGGGCCAACTCCTAACCCTTTGGCTTGAGAAAGGGCCAGACCAGGAGCTGCCCATTAAAAGGGCAAACTTCAGCCTGTGCATGGCTTACAAGCTCTTGGACTGAACCAACTTGACCTTTGCAGCATGAGACAAGTGAACCAAACCACATGGCTTGCTCTTCTTCCTCACTAAATGCTGAACAAGGAATGCAGGGCTAGGGAACTGAGCTGCTGGGTTGCTGTGAACACACTCAGGGCAGAGCTCAGTGACAACCAGGGCTGCCGGATGTATTTACAATACCTTAATAAATAATAATGATCAAGCAAGGAATAACCAAGAGCCACTCTTGTTGTTCACATGTGATCAGGGGTAGCTCTGTGAGTTGCAGCCTTTCCTTCAGCACTCCTACCAACAATACTCTGTTCTTGTGAATTTTTCAGGAGTGAATAACAGGGCAGTGACACGACCAAACTGAGCAGCTATTTGAAGTTCAAACAAATACTAATCTGTGATAAATCTTCAGCTTGACAACAGAAAAACACACCCAGAAAATACTTTGTAAGAAAACTCCAAGAAGAACTGACCGTAGGCATTGGGGAATTCTCCAGGACCTGGTCCTGGATAAAAAGGTCCTGGTCCTGGTGGCTGAACAGGATACTGCTGCGGGGGCCCGACGTAGGGAGGGCCGCTGTGCCGATACTGGGAGGGGAAAAACAAACACCAGTTAACAAGGAGATGGGGCAACTCCATGCTGTTTGTTGCATATAGACCCTGTAATTGAGCCCCTCAATCAACGGGGATCTGATTACTAAAGTACTACAGAATTATACGTTACTGTCAAAAAAAATGAGAGGGAAGCTGTCATTTACTGCCCGGACAGGGAGGACATGAGAGCTGAAGTAGAAAAGTCACTCCCCTGATTTCAGCAATACTGTGTTTTTGAGACCCACACTTTTAAGGTAATTGTAGAGCTATTAGGTCAACTTAGATACATTTAAATTTCCAAGAGCTTAGTCTCTTAGTGGGACCTCCAAAACTAGAACAGTCTTTCTGCCTCCATGCACAGAAGAACAAAGTCTTCATACAGAGAAAGGACAGGAGATAAACACACGAGTACCTGCTTCATCTTCCCTCCCTCCCAACCCTGCAGAAGATCCAGAGAAAATCCAGAGGGAGCTCTGGAGCTGCTTGGGGAACGTGTTACCTGTGGGATACAGTACTGGGGGCCCTGAGGCATGGGGTAGGGCATGGGCAGGTGGTTGACCATCATGATGTGTTGGTTGGTTTGATACACCGCGGTCGGTGTCTGCGCACCAGGACGGATGGAAGGGCTGCTGTTCTGGATGGTGGCTCTTGGAGGCTGTATCTGAGGCCTCTGGAAAAACTAGGGTTGGGAAGGGAGAGAGGAAGGAGAGAGGAGAGAAAACAAAGAACTGGTCAGACTTTTCTAGAAGGTCATCTGCAACATCATGACAATAATATAACACTACTTTCGAAGGGTTGCCACACATTCAGAAAACTACAGGACCATTTCTGTTTATCTGTAATTAACAAGATCATCTTCTAGCCTTGGTAAGAAGCTTTAAACTCCAAGAATTATTACTTTGCACCTGCAAATGTACGTACAGCTGAAGGACAGCCCAACTTTCAGAGCTAATGTTAGAAAAATGATTTTTGTCAAATACATATTTTTATAGGGTGGCTGGGCTGCCAAGAAAGCCACCTGTGTAAATGAAAAGATCATAGAATCATAGAATTATTTGGGTTGGAAGGGACCTTAAAAATCATTTAGTTCCAACCCCCCAGCGTGGGCAGGGACACCTCCCACTAGACCAGGTTGCTCAGAGCACCTGATCAAGGCAACTGTTCCAACAAACCTTCAGAACAGCTAAAAAGAAAGATTTTTACAAAGGCCAGAGGCATCTCATGCCCATCCTTTGAGCACATAGAGCCAGGTGACTTCTCTTGCCCTTGGTTTTCTGAAAGGTGGCAACCTCTCCCAGGTGGTACCAAACTCTTCTACCACGTTTGCATGAAGTGATGCCCCACGCAGATGGACCAGGTCCAGGAGACCAAGCAAACCCACTGGGACACGCTCCGTGCTCCACCCTTACGAGCTGGGAAAGGCATCAGCGCTCAGGGTGTGAAGCATTCATGGCACTGGAAGACCTTGCTCTGGAGTCTTTGCAATCTTGAAACTCAGTTGGTAAGATTGATGTTATCAGACATGAAGGCATTCACTAACAGAGTAATGACAGAGGTGAGACACTTATGCCATGCAGAACCAGGAGTTAAAATTACCTGTATGGGCCTGAATCCTCCCTTCAATAACGAGGCAAGAAAGCAGCAGGAAACAGAAAGAAAGCCAATGGAACAGCTTAACAGATCAGTAGGAAGGAACAGGAGATAACATGCACCCTAACTGCACACAACTCATCTCTTTGTCCTGCTTGGATTCATCTCCTACAGCAACAGCCAGAAAAAGACACTGAGCTGGTACCAAGGGATCCCAAAGGTCAGAAAAAACTTCTAAGAAAGTTTAAGAAAAAAAACCAACCCAACCAAACCATGATTAATGGCAGGAAATATGATCCCACAGAAAGACTTTGTTCACTCTCTTCCTAAACATCAAATATTTTTCCTTTCTGGTCTTTTAGAGATAGCAGATAAGGCAGAAACCCTGGCTGAAATCATGGACTTGGTCTCCACTTCTGCACCAAGACTGGGAGGATAAGGAATGACACGTATGTCATTGGGAAGCAAACTAAATTGTAGAAATTGGGTCATAATCTGTAAGACTGAAGAGTGGTGACTGATGAAGTAATGGGAATAGTCTGTGAATAACTGTATCATGGGTGGTGAGAAGAAAGGAGAGTGGTAACCACTAAAGAATGAGCTGGGCTTGTCTGCCCTGGTGTTTTGGGTAGGGTGGAAGGCAGTGGTGATGCCTCTACACTTGACATGACAATGAGCTTCAAACGGTCATTCTGGTGCTGAAGATTTTAAGACACCTGAGTTCCCCGTAGAAAATGATTTCTCCTGGAAAGCTATGGGTGACTCCCTGCCACAGGAATCCAGACAGCACCAAGATGAGCACAATGCTTTTTAGGTCCAGCCCTGTTCATCTGGATGAAGAACAATCACCAGCACACATGGGACCTGAACCAGAAGGCAGCTGCTTGGGGAGAAAAATTTGGTAATGAGGGTGCAGGAAAAACCACTGGAAGAGCAACACATTCCCATGTTCCCACATTAACACAAACAATGTGGCTGTCCAGATGTGGGGGAACTACCTGAGAATTGCAGGAACCAAGGGCACACACTGAATTTACGGTGAGAATAACTGGAGTCTGCCACTTTTCCATAGTCAAAGACACCAAAAAGTGTAAAAGTCCTTTCTTCTTTCACTTTACATTGCAGAATAGTGGGTATTGCTGACCTGTCAGCAGGTTACAACACAATCATGGAATGGTTGAGGTTGGAAGGGACCTTAAAGATCATCCAGTTCCAACCCCCCTGCACGGGCAGGGACACCTCCCACCTGCCCAGGCTGCTCCAAGCCCCATCCAACCTGCCCTTCAACACTGCCAGGGATGGGGCAGCCACAGCTCCTCTGGACAACATGTGCCAGGGTCTCACCTCCCTCACACTCAAGAATTTCCTCCTAATTTCCAATGTAAATCTCCCCTCTTCAAGTTTAAAGTCATTCCCCCTTTTCCAGACTCCCTCCCCAAATTTCTTGGAGCCTCTTCAGGCACTGGAAGCTGCTCTAAGGTCTCCCTGGAGCCTTCTCTTCTCCAGGTTGAACACCCCAACTCTCCCAGCCTGTCTGCAGAGCAGAGCTGCTCCAGCCCTTGGATCATCATCTCCTACATAATTTTCTTCCCACATGACCTGGTGTCAAAAGGCTGCTGAAGGCCAGCCAGGTAAGAGGCTGTCATCTAGAAAAATCAATGGTCAAAGAGCACAAACCTCCTCCTGATAAATCACCACTGCATTTTAATTGATTTTCTATTTGCTGGGTACTTCTAAGCCATCCCTCCCAGGGAGAGGCCTGTGGAGCTCTCCCTACCTACTCTGAAAGCTTCACTGAAACATAAAATCATGGCAAGAGCACTGAAAACAAACCTCAGCCAACCTGCACCCATCAGACACAACAGGCACCCATCTCTTTTTTCCAGACTGGACCAAGGCTGGCAGTTATGATGGGCCCTCAAAGTCCTGCAGAAAGTTGTTGACAAGCAGAAGTTAAACAAGTCCTCACCAACACTATCAAATCAAATGGCACCCAAGCTCCTGCTTCAGTGAAGCTTCTCATGCCCTCAGACAGCTCAGGTATTAATCTTTAGTCTTTTTGGTCCAACCAAGAACCTGGCCCTGATCTGGCAGAGGGAGGAGGAGGAGGAGCAGGTGTCTACCCAGGCAATACAGCAGGAACCACATTTGCTTGGAGTCAAAGTTGAGACATTAGAATTCACCTTCCAAACCTCAGTACAGGCACCAGGGCTTGGCTGAGAAGCTGCAGCCCTGAGATGTGGTGCCAGAAGCAGGAGCTGCACCAGGAAGTCCACAGATCCACACCTTGCTTCTCTAGTGGCCACCAACAACCTCCTAACAAGACTTGGTTTCCCCCCTGCCTCAGACTTTCTCACTTTTTGTTATTTATTAAATGATAAAACAGGAGGGGAAACCCCTTTTTGGGTAAACCATGGGATTTAAAACTGATAGCTCTTTTCCACACTTGTGGATGAAGACCCAGAAATTATTATGGCAGCTGTTTCTGATGGTTTTCTAACTCCAAATATTCTAGAAAGCTATAAAATGGTTAGTTTTGAAGTCAACTCAGGGTTTCAATTCCCAGGCTCTCCAAATCACAAGGCTTGGCAGCAGCAGCACTGGGCCCAACCCAGCTCCCTGCTGTATAAACTGTACCCAAAAGAACTTGAGTAACCCCAAGTTTAAACTGGAGCAAACCAGCAACCCCAAACCAAATTAGTCTGCCAGAACCAGTAAACTAATCTCAAATCCAATTTTAAGTCAGAAAGGGAACTATGACAGTTATACTTGTTCTTACTTCTGTTTACAATCACACTGGCCTGTTCCAGGCATCCATTTCAAATCAACCCATAACGCTCTTAAAGTCACTTCTTAAATTAAGGGTTATTCTACATTTTGCACTTCACCTTAGAAGAAAAATGTTGTTTTCAGTGGTGCTTCATGAGGACCAGAAGCAACAAAGTGGGGACAGAAAAACCAAGGCTGCTCCGTGCCCACAGGCAGGAAGCAGAGCAGTGAGCCAGGCAGGGCAGCAGCTGAGCCCACTACAGCACCTCAAGAAACTCACAAACTGATTATATTTAAAAATACTGTCAAAAAACACTTTGGTTATTCTACATTTTGCACTTCACCTTAGAAGAAAAATGTTGTTTTCAGTGGTGCTTCATGAGGACCAGAAGCAACAAAGTGGGGACAGAAAAACCAAGGCTGCTCCGTGCCCACAGGCAGGAAGCAGTGAGCCAGGCAGGGCAGCAGCTGAGCCCACTACAGCACCTCAAGAAACTCACAAACTGATTATATTTAAAAATACTGTCAAAAAACACTTTGTAGGGCACATTTTCTTCCTCCTCCTCCAAACCCAGACTTTTTTGGTGGGCTCTCAGGGAGCTGTGTTACTGGAAACAAGGATTATTGATAGATGCTTCAATTTAATCAGAACCACTGCAGGTATTTCCATTTGATTTCAGCAGCTATTTAAATTTGATTTTAGCAGCTATTTACTTAATGTAGCACCTGAAACCTCATTCTAATATTTTCTTTCACACAGACTTTGATTATATTTTCTACAGCATCTACTGGCTTGGAACTTCTAGGCCAGGAAACCCCAACAGAAAAATAAATTGCTTATAAAGTTGCCAGTGAACTTCAGATGCTTTAATCATGCTAATTTGAGTACTTTAAAGATCTAATAATTACAGGAAATAACATTGAAGAATCCATTATTTGACTGAAAAAGACAAAGAATCAATGAGGCATATGCTGATAAAATCACACGGGGATTGACCCAGGAATTGTTGCAAACCTCATCTTGCAGCTGCTTTCTTGGAGGAGTGGGCTCTGTTGTTGAAACAAATAACACTATAAGGGTTGATTTTCTATTTAGTATTTTTTTTTAGGTTACAGAAATTCAAAGTCTGCCACAATTAAACTATTCCAGCATGTTAAAGGGTCCCCAAGTGAGAATAATAATTTAAGTTGGTCTCAAGAATCATCTAAGTCTGGAGTTTGGGATGAATTTGCTTCAACAGCCACATGTTGGTGGCAAAAATCCCTCTTTCCATCCCAAAACCACACCATGGGCAGAGATTTTTGGATTAAAAGAAACCAAACAGCTTCATCTGTAGCCCAGGTTTCCCTCTGCCTGTTCTGATCTAGCTCATGACAGATACAACTGGGAATAAAGCCTGAAATGTTTCTCTAACAGTGACAGCTTCTCTCAGATAATTACAAGCAGCCCTCAGATCTAACAGAGTCAAAAATGTAACTGCAGGGCAGCTAAAGATGCAGAGATAAAAACTTGGGAATCAGAAGTTTTAACCTGCAAGGAGGGTCAGAACTGGATCCAAAAGGAAGTTTTAAATCAAACCCTGACAGATTGGTGGCAGTCATTCCAGTAAAGCCACCAGGTGCTGAAATTGTCTCCTCCAAGGCTGTGCTGCCTCCAGACTCAGGGTCCCAAACCTGCTCCCTGTGAGCTCCCTAATTTTGATGACAACATTAAATGTTTCACACTGAAGAAAGACATCATCTGCTTCTAATGACCTATGGAAGAGCCAACGAGTTCCTGAACAGAGATGCATTTTTGGTATCACCTAATATAATATACACAGACCTGAAGTTAAGGTCAAGAACAAAAAGCATCTAACCAAGAAACTAATCCTGGGTTGCCCAGTCATCCTGCAAACCTTCCTTCACCACCTCCTGTTGATGTAACCCCTTGAGATGCACAAAAATAATTTCTCTCTCTCTCACATGACATTTGCCTGTGAACAAACGAGTGCAAATGCCTCATTCTATTTTTTAAGCCTTTTTTTTTGCCCTGGTCTGGCAGGATGCCAGCCCCCCTGCTGCTGAGGTGGAGACAAGACAACCAGCTTCTCGGGGTGTCTGTGCCCACTTAACACGCTTTTACCTGCTCTCCTGAGGCAGAATTTTCCCCAAGGTGCTCATCTCTACAGGATTAAACTGCTCAGACTAACAGGAACAAAGGGAGAACAAGATATTTCTCCGGAAACAAACCTTCATTGACTTCACATCAATGGAATTAATGTGATGATTTTTTTTCCCCCTGTTAATTTGGTGGAAACAAACTGGTTCTTTCCATTCCTAGAGAAGGACACAGAAACAAAAGAATCTGGGAGAGCTTTCCTGCACTTGTCATGCCCCCCCTGCTCTTTTCCTGCCATCATAGAATGGTTAAGGTTGGAAGGGACCTTAAAGATCACCAGGTTCCAGCCCCCCTGCTATAAGCAGGGACACCTCCCACTAGACCAGACCTCACAAAGCCTCATCCAACCTGGCCCTGAACACCCCCAGTGCCACCTCTGCCTCCTCAAAAAGCTACAAGAAGTAGTAGAATCAAGAAGGCTTAACCCCAAAAGGGTTTTGGCAAAGATGAATGTAGGAATTGATAGAAAAGACAACTTTGGACACCTTGAGTAGGACAGAAGGGACCCTGTGCATCTGTCTTGATGCTGAAGAAGTCCTCTGAGAATTTCTTCCACCCTAGTCAGTGCTGCCCATGAGTTTCATGAGCCAGAGCTATTCCTCATTTGCATTCTTCTCAATTAAGTGGTTCCTTACAACGTCCAACTCGATTCCTACATGCTTGGCTTTCTAAGGATGAGTAAAACCAACATTAGGCAATGCAACAGTGCACCATGCACTGCTAACAGCTGTCCAGGTGTGTCACAAGGAATGTGTGAAGTGAAGAGTCCTTGGCCTTGCTCTGAGCTGGAGAAGTTGGATTTTCTCAGGGATGCAGATGCCTGGTTCTTGTTGACATCTTCAGCTCAGGCAACTTCATCCACCAGTTAGTTTGGGAAACAGACTGTGAAGTTTCTATTGACTTGAAAAGGCAAGCAAATCTCACAGATACCTGGCAACCATCTCTACAGGTTCTCCTTTCCTAGGGCAAGGGTGGTAAATGGGGTGGTTAATGAGTGCAGTGACACTGATTAGGAATTACAAGTGTTACTACAAGTGTTACTCTGTGTTGCAGGCAGCTTGTTAGCAGGGTTATGCATGTGCTTGTAGCTACTAAGGGGGTAGGATTGAGTTCTGAGTTAGTGGGTGAACCACCTCCACCCACCCACCTCCCCCAGGCAATTAGTTGGGGATGATAATGAAGGGGCAGGGTACTGTACCTGGTGATGGGCAGGTCGAGGCCCCGCTGCAAACTGGGGAAAGGCAGGAGAAACAAACACAAAAGGAAAGGCACAAAGAGTCAGAAACACCACAACGAAACCAAAATGTCACACTCTATGCAAAATAAACCCACAAGAAAATTAAAAAGGAAAGAAAAAAAGAAAGCTAAACAACCACAAAACAGTCAAAAGCTTTGCTGCAGGACAGTGACAGACAGGTACTGAGATCTCAGGAGGGAACATCGCTTACGGGGCTCGTGTGCTGCTCGGGAGCTGGGGATAAACAGCCAAAGCTGCAGGTTATTTTAGAGGCACTCTAGTTTATGAATGCAGGCATTCTCTGTCCTGCCTGGGGGGAAAAAAAAAAATAAAACCAAAAAACCAACTTAAAAACAAGCAGCGGTGAAGATTTTCAACTGTTTAAGGTGGAGGGCAATGGCTGAGGCAGCTGGACTCAGAGCTTCCAAACATGTGGTGGGAGCAGAGGATGGAGACTCAGGGCTGGCCAGCAGCTCAGAGCCAGGGAGGCACAGCCAATGTCCTGCTGGAGAGGAAACCCCCTGCAAGGCAAACACCAGCAACACCCAATTTCATTTCCAGCTTCTTCTTTTGACCCCACAACCCTCCTTAATTCCTTGCATTTGTCACCCCATCCGACAGGCAAGGGGACGGGCTAAGCCGGGATGTCCCCGCGGTGCTGGAGGCAGCAGCAGCAGAGCTTGGCTAGAGAACAGGAGGTCCCAATTCCCCCAGCTCAAGTTACTAAATCACTTCCCACCCACTTGGGTTACACCCGGAGGAAAGTAACCAGAATTTCACAAGCTCAGTAAACATTAAAAGCATTTTTCCAATAAGTAACTGATTGTTAAAACAGAAATAAAAATGAATGCAAGGAATGGAAAAGAGAAATAAAGATGACAAGGTATCCTCCTCCAGAAGCCCAGTGAGGTATTTTAAACCCTTAATTCTCAGTGTAATCAGCAGAGCTCCATGATGACAGCAGATAAATCTACTGATAATAGCTCCAATAATTAAATGGAGTAAATGAAACTAGATCCCATGGTGGCTTTTTACCCACCACATGCCTCTACCTGTTGCTAGTTGTGATGGTTTAGTAACTTGAGGCACATGGTACAGTCCCCTCTGCTAAGCCATACCATGGGGACTCAACAGGGTTTGCTTTCTGCCTGAGAAGAGTGATCAAAACTGGCTCCTAATTCTTGATTTTCCTGATAAGATGCTTTTCCAGTGGGAAAAAGCAGCCTGGGGTTCTCTTCCAGCCCTACCTCCCAGCTATTTTAATGCCATCAAAAGTGAGAAGCAAAGTGTAAATATTCACTGGTCCAGCTGATTTTCTCCTTATAAACAATTTAATCCCCTGTATTTCAGATTCCCAAGTAGTCTGCTCCTCCTACCAGTGTCTATACATTCCTTCTACCCTCATCTCGTTGTGATGTTTGAATGAAAAGTCATCAAAACCTTCAGAAAGGAAAAAAAAATGCACACACAGACTATTTCTAGCACAAGAGTTTAGAAAGAATGACCTGCACTGATGCATCAAATAACAGTTTTCCCAACCTTGAATATTTTCCCTGAGCCTAAATAAAAAAAAGTGTGATTATCTTGTCAAACTCATGAGCTAAAATTTCCATGTTGGTATCAACAGCAGGACAGAAACACTCAAAGAGTCTCAGCATCCTCCCAAGGTCCCAAGGATGGGTCCTGCAGTGATGAGTCTCAGGAGGTGAATCAATCCTTATTTTCCTAAGGGAAGAACTCCTCAAAACCAGTTGAAATGGGTTTGAGAGAGAGAAGGGAACAAAGTTTACCCTGGAAGGGCTGACAGGAGCCTTTCTGGTGGGGCTACACACTCCGTGCTACACACCAGTGAGAAAAATTAAATGGAAAGACAATGATGGGGTGCAAAAACCTTCTGCTGCTTCATGTTAGGCCTGAAGTACCTTTCTTATCACTGTTCCACAGAAGATTCATTCTTGCTGTGTTTCCAACAAGAGCTGGAAGCTTTTATCTCAAGAAGCTGAAGTACATTCCATGGTGAAAAGTCGTGTGTTACAAGGAAAAAAAAAAAAAACATCAAACAAAACCTTGAAGTTAGTGGAAAAATCCCCTGATCTATTTTGCACTGGTCACCATTGGCTAGTGATTTTTAATTTTTAATTTTATACAAATAATTCAGGTTGATAGGATGATGACTCCTATCAGTAGCTGTAAGCAACAGAACAAACTGTAGTCACTGCTGGCTCAGGTTAAAAGACATACTGAGGTTTTGTTTCTCTGTCTGATGAAGGGAGTAGGTAGAAAGGAAAATTTCTTTATGAAACCTGGGTCCAACATCTCTGCCACCCACACTCCTCATTGCCCTGCTGACTGCTCTGGGGCCAGTGGGACACAGTGTCTACCTGCTGACGCTGAGCTGACACACCTCAGGCCTCTCTGAAAACAACCACTGCTGGATGGCACCAACAACCTCTCTGATCATGGGGTTTTACTTCTGGCAGACTTCCTAGGATTGGACAGTTTATGTTAAAATTTCCTGGTGCTCAGAGAGCAAGAGCTAAGGGGTAATTTTCAGCAGTGCTGAATGACTCTGGTTTTGTTGTCTTTCCCCAGGCTGAAGTTGCACTTGGGAATTCTCACTATCGGGGTGATGCTACGAGGCTACCAGGAGAAAACAGGAAGGCAGTTGGTCTGGAGGGAACAGCACAGCCTGCCCCGTGCAACCACCAGTAGCCCTTGGATGCAGGAACAGGATGGAGGAAGCTCCAGCTGCTCGAGGAAGCAGGATTAGGATCCATCTCATTAGTGCAACAGCCCCTCGGACTGTGCGATGGAAACCAAGGGATGGTAACGATGTCCCGTTGCCTTCCTGGTCCCCTCTTCACCCACCCCTCCCCACCAAAAGGGATGGTCAAAAAAAATTAAAACATAATAATTAAAAATATATGAAATAAAACAAGCCCAGAATAAAATGCAAGAGTAGCTCAGGACTCAGGCTAGTCTTGCATTTGCTTTGGGGTGGGGAGGTGGAATGAGATGTTATGGGTGCAGCTTTTAGTCATGGGGTGGAAATGGTCACCAGCAGAGCAGATGGCACAAACTGCACACAGGAGAGGTAAAAAAACAACAGAAAAATGGCTGACAACTGCAAACAAACTCTTCCTCACTATCTCCCTCAATAATGGGGCCAAAACCTGACAATTTGTGGCATTTTCTGGCCAAATTCCCTGAAGGATGGAAGTGTTGAGCGACAAGCCCAAAGTCACCCTGGTCTCTGTCCTACACCAGGTGGGACCTTCCCAACTGTGACCCAACTGTGGCCCCACTTCACCTGGCAGGGAACTGCCAACAGTAGCTCATGCTTGTAGCAAAGAAGCAAAATCAGGGCATTGCTGTAGATCAGCCAACACATTCCAAAAAATAAAGATGTGGTTATAAATAAATAAATAAATAAATAAATGAAATCATAAAGAAATGAAGGAAGAAATCAAAACAGTGCCATGGGCACAATTGCCTGCAAGAAGGAGTACAGTTTGTTATATTGCTTACAATGCAGTATTTTATCCAGCCTCTTCCAGCCAGGGACCTGTAAACCGGACTCTGTTCCAAAACCTTCCTCCTCTTCCAGTTGTCTGTGCAATGTATTGGCACTGCTCTGCTGGGCTGTCAAAGAAACTGGTTTAGAGATGCAGCTCTTCAGTCAGGTTTTTGCTCCAGTTCTAACCATCTCAACTTCTTTGTGTTTTTCAATAATTAAGACATCAAGATGATGATTACACTTACTGAGGAAAAAGGGGTTTTTACCAGCAGTGTCCTGATCAGAAGAGGGATTAAGGAGGTGGGAAGGGGGATCTGGTTGCAAATTTATAGAATCATGGAATGGTTTGAAACGGAATGGACCTTAAAGATCATCTAGATCCAACCCCCTGCATGGGCAGAGACACCTCCCACCAGACCAGGCTGCTCCAAGCCCCGTCCAACCTGCCCTTCAACACTTCCAGGGGTGGGGCAGCCACAGCTTCCCTGGGCAATTCACAGCTGTCCACACCACAGGAACTTTATCAAAACTGGTGTTAATTATCTAGTTCATCAAAGGGCCTCAGAACCACCCCTCCTGTGAAACCCCTGGAGGAGGAACCTCCAGAAGCAGAGCCAAGTGCTTTGATGTGGCTGCACGTGGGGGAAAGCTTGCCTTGTGTCTGTGTGCCTGTCACATGGACAAACAGAAGATGTCTGAGGCTTTGGGTTACTCCACTTCAGCAGTGTTCAGCTTCCCCAAAAATTGGTGGGTTCATAGGTAACCTGAAAGCTTTACCATGCAGATGTGGAACTGCAAGAGGTGCAGGGAATGCTGCTCCCTTGGATAAATGAGGCTTGAGACATGGTGACAGCAAGCTATCATGACCTCCAGATGCCCTGGTAGGGTCTCCAGGCATCATATGCACCTGGGTTACGAGCAGAGATTGCCCAAAAAGAGCCTGGTTTGGGGAAACCAAAGTCCTACATTAGCAGAGCAGTATTACAGTATGCACACACAAAAAACCACCCCGAAACAGATTACAGAGGACAATCAAACCTAAAATAGGATGAAAAAGGGGCTTAACCACAAAAAGATCTGGGTACAAAGAAGTTCTCCATGAAATATGTGAGCACCTCCAGGGTGCAAGGCAGTAAATGGTTAGAACTGTGGCACTGATTCAGAAGCAGTGCCCAGAGGCCACTGGAGACTGAGTGTTGCTGCAGAGAATCACTTTCACTTACTGATCTCTGATCTATCACTTTACCAACCACTTCCTTCAAAAAAAAAAAAAAAAAAAAAAGAAAAAAGAAAAAAAGAGGAAGATTCTGGTAATGAATCTAAACTCTAAAATGAAGTGAACCTGAAAGCAACTATGCTAAAAATAAATGGTGTTATTTGAACGCAGATGAGAATCCCTGCACTGCTTCTCTTCTGGTAAGTCACTTGAAAAGGAAAATGATCCTGCCAGGACAATGGCTGAAAAATTCAACCAGGATTTGCCATTCGGAATGTGCTTCCAGTTCAGCAAAAAATGCTCTTCCAGGCCAAGTGCTACTGACACACACACAGAGACAGAGAAACACAGAAATGAGGAAGAAAGAGCAGAAGGCAGAGGTGGGCGCCCTTACCGGCGAGCGGGTCTGAGGCTGGGTGTTCATTGTCTGAGGGGCTTGAGGGTACACCAACGTGGTTGGAGCTGCATTCTGTCCTGAGGGGTAAGGAGCCTGCCAGGGAAAAAGAAAAGGAAATAAAAAATGAGTGTATCAAGTGATTCATCCCAAAGGATTGGAACTGACCACATTATCAGATGGATTGCTGATTAACATTGAGATGAGGGTGACAGAGGTGATTGGAGAAGGTCACACAATCACAGAATCCTTCTGGTTGGAAAAGACCTTTAAGATCATTGAGTCCAACCATTAAACCAACTCTACCAAGTCTGGTGCTAACTCATGTCACTCAGCACCACATCTGCATGGCTTTTAAATACCTCCAGGGATGGTGATTCAACCACCACCCTGGGCAGCCTGTGCCAGTGTTTCATAACCCTTTCAGTGAAGATGTTTCTTCTAAATTCCAATCTAAACCTCCCCGGCACAACCTGAGGGTCATCTCCATCAAGGACCCAACCCATTTATCTATAATACCCTAAGCCCTGCAAGTGCCACAGCAGAAAAACAGCAAAGATGCAAATCAGAGCAACATTCCAGCACCAAACCCTGTGGTGTCTGACCACCCCATCCATGTCCTTTCCAAAAGCACCTCCAGAATCTGCTTCCACGGCAAGATGGAACAGCAGGGATTACCAGTAAATCCTCCAACACCAGACACATGACAAGAAAGAAACCCAAACACATCTCACACAAGCTACTGCTGCCTGAAAGTGTTTGCAGCACAATGAAAAGGCCCCAGATTGTGGCAGATCAAAGGCAGGACCACGGGGGTGTCAGGTTTTCACAGTTCCAATGATCTCCTTGGGCTGTAACAATTTACCCACCAGCTGCTCTCCCCTGTGCTATCTGCCCAGAGCAGCACTAAACCTAAGCTGTGCAGTTATGCCCATGAGGCATTTTAACAAGACATTTAGAAATAACTTTTCAGAGCACCTTTTTCCTTTTTTTGAACAAAAATATTGTAACTTACTTATTTTAAAAAAAAAAAAAGCCAAGGAAGTTTCTTCATGTAGTGGCATAAAAAGCAGCCACCAGGTTGCAATGACCTTCGCTTCCAAGAGGAATGAGCCCCAACTCTACATGCTGTCCTGTACCTCCTGCATGACTCCATCCCAAGCCAATTCCCAGCTCCTTGGCTCTTCTTCCTTCCAGTGCCTGAAGGGGCTCCAGGAAAGCTGGGGAGGGACTTGGGACAAGGGCAGGGAGGGATGGGATGAGGGCGAATGGATGAAAACTGGAAGAGGGGAGAATGAGGTTGGAATTCTTCCTTGTGAGGGTGGTGAGAGCCTGGCCCAGGTTGCCCAGGGAATCTGTGGCTGCCCCATCCCTGGCAGTGTTGAAGGGCAGGTTGGATGGGGCTTGGAGCAGCCTGGGCTGGTGGGAGGTGTCCCTGCCCATGCAGGGGGTTGGAACTGGATGATCTTTAAGGACCCTCCCAACTCAAACCAGTCTGTGATTCTATGATCTACCACCGAGTACCCAGCACACATTAACCAGTGTCCTGTGCCTTGGAGAGCATCTCAAGAGTCAGTTGAACTCTCTGTGCTATTCTTTTTGTCTTCTTTTTCATTCCTAGACACAAATTCCTTGCTTAATCTCCTGCTGATTAAAACGTAACACCAGGTAGATGAAAATACAGTTTAGAAGCAACCTGACCAAGGAATCTTCCAGTCTCAGAAAACAAAAGAAACCAAAACAAACTCAAACCATGGCAGAGGGGATGAGAGGGTTGAGCACAGCTCAGAAATAGTCCAAATACAACACCTACTGCTGCAGTACCTGCCGGTCCTTCTTTGGGACCACACCCAAAGTGATCGCTAAGGAGCAGAACCTAAGCATGAGCACACAGACCTTTGAGGACAGCATTCCTATCTCCAAGGAAGGCAAGATATTCTGTTATTTTCTATCTGACTGGGTCAAAGAGATGACAAACATGTCTTAAAGCAGATCACAACATCTTTGCTGTAACTGAGGATGCCAAAGCACACTTGGTAGAACGTTCAGCCGGAGGATGTTGCTCTGTAGTACTTGATATCAACACAGCAGCAAAGAGTCTGGTTCAAGAGCAACTAAATGCTTTGATCAGCTCCTGCTATGGAAACAGCAACCTTGGGCAGGCTTTCCACTGCTCCTCCTCTCCCAGAAGCTCATTTGGTCTAATTCTCTCCAACCAGCTCTTCCCTCCCTTCTTACCACTGGCAAAACCTTTAATTCACATTAACAACTAATTCGCAAGAACTCTTCTCATTTTTTGAGATGTCAGATGCAGCAACAAATACTTTCCCCTTTTATTTGACAAGTGTGATTCTGCTTGAGCTGTTCATGTCATTGCTGTGTAATAAACAGTATGTCCCACATCTCACAGCAGTAATGACACCTCAGGAATGAAGGATAGCAGCTCAGAGTAAAGTAACTAAGCACTAATGAGATGTAGGGAGATTCTGGTATCTTTTAATCCACAACCCACAGAAGGTGTCCTGCATTTGTAGTATCTGGCTGCTGACCTTCTGCACCTGTGATCTCTGCCCAACACGAGATTTAGGCTTCACATACAGAGTCATCAGGGTTGGAAGTGGCCTCTGGAGATCATCTACTCCAACTCCCTGCCAGAGCAAGATCCCCTAGAGCAGATCCCACAGGAACAGGTCCAGATGGGTTTGGAATGTCTCCAGGGATGGAGACTCTACAACCTCCCTGGGCAGCCTGTCCCAGGGCTCTGTCACCCTCACAGTAAAGAAGTCTTCCTTACATTTAACTTGATCCTCCTGTGCTCCAGTTTGTGCCCATTGCCCCTTATCCTGTCACTGGGCACCACAGGGAAGAGTCTGTCCCCATCCTCCTGACAGCCCCCTGTAGATCTTGGAGAGAGTCATGGGGAGGGCAACAAAGATGACTGGAGGATTGGAGCACCTCTCTTACAAGGAAAGGCTGAGAGAGCTGGGACTGCTCAGCCTGGAGAGGAGAAGGCTGAGGGGAGACCTTATTAATCCCTACAAGTATCTAAGGTCAGTGCAGGGAGGATGGAGCCAGACGCTTTCAGTAGTTCCCAGTGACAGGACTAAGGGCAATAGGAACAAGTGGAATGTAGGAAATTCCATTTAAATATGAGAAAAAAAACTTCTTTCCCATAAGAGTGACAGAGCACCTGGAAGAGCTGCCCAGGGAGATAGTGGAGTCCCCTTCTCCAGAGAAGTTCAGGCCCCCCAGGATGCTGCCCTGCGGGGTGTGCTCTGGGCAATCCTGATTTAGGAGGAAGTTGAACTAGATGATCTCTGGAGGTCCCTTCCAACCCTGACAATTCTCTGACTCTGTTTATGAGATCATCCCCATCTCCTTGGGGGATCAGAGGGTTTCTGTGTCACTCCATGCCTTGCAAAGGTCCTCGCTGCTCCTCACCAGCAGCGAGCACACTGGGGCTGAGACTGTGCAGGGCAAGATCATCAACCATCACAGGTACAGGGACCAGTTGGCCCCCAGCTCCTTGTGCCCCCAGCTCTGTCTCTCCAGAGAAGAAACCTCACCCCAAACTATTTCAATTTCTACTGTTCTATCAATTGCTGCTGTTTCAATCTGCTGTTCTCCCCCTTCCTCATGCTCACGAAACACCTTCTCTTCAGGCTTAACACGGAGAAAGTCAGAAAGAACCTCCATGCTACCCCCAAAGTATCCATGGCCAAAACAGCCTGAGTTTTCATTCCATCACCCAAACAAAAGGAAACTGGAAAGGAAGGAAGTGCAACTATCACCAAGTCCAAAAAAGGAAGAGTTGTAGCAGGAAGGCTGTACAGCAGACATGTTGAAAGACCAAAGTCAGGCACCTCCTTGGTAACAGATGTCATTTCTGACACAAATAGGGCTGAGAGGCAAATGCAAGACAAAACAAACTAGTGTTAAATTTGCTTTAGTATTTAAACTCTATCAGAGGAAGTACAGCATTACATTATAAAGAAAAGAAAAAAGCAGATGGAGGCTTAAATGGCAGCCACTGGAGGGGTTCTGCTGTCACCAAAACAAGGGGACTGTGGACAACCAATGCTGTTTCTCACCCAGACTACTTACAACTGTAGCCTTGAGGAACGAGGCACTACAAATACCACCGAAGACAACAAATACCACCTCAAGAAACACATCTCCTAACTAATACACAATAACAAATGCTTCAAAGCAGAGGGAGGTGTGACCTAATTGGTATTTGTGTTAAAAACATAAGGGGGAGCAGAGGGGGAAAAAGAGCTTGATGGATTTCTGCAGGTACTAAGTTCACAAATAAGTACACGACAGCTGAACCAAAACACCCAACAGAATAAATTACAGCACTTTTCAGACAAGTCAGGTGATTAAAGGTATGGCATCTATTCATCTGTCAAAAGGACTCTTATCTGTGCCAAGCACCTAAATAGGTACACAAAGTAATTTAGTCACATGCAGTCACGCTGGAAATATGAGGCTTTTATGCACCGTGGCTGAAATGCAGAGGATGAGGTGAGTAAATGAACAGATCAGCAAGGAAATGCTCCAAAAATTCCCTAAATAAACTACCACAGAGAGGAAGGCAGGGAAGGAAATATCACTCTGTAGAAAAATTTTTATTCAGAAGCATCTAAACCCTGGCACCAAAATCCCCAAAGCTCAAAGAGCTGCAGCACCCCAAGCTGGAACAGAAGGGATGGCTGCTGAGCTGCTCCAATTTGGAGGCAGAGCAATTTGCTTCCCTTCAAGCTTTCATCTTAGCGACTTTATATTTCAGGCAGGGCCATGCATGGGGGAAGGGGAAAACACTTGTCTGTTTCTGTATTCTCACAGCTTGCCGGGGAAAACCCTTTTTCTGTGCAGTTTCCACCTTGGGCTGCTGAGTGTGCTGAGCAAAAAAAAGCCAACAAACCAACCAAACAAAAAAAGCCCATCACTACCAAGAAAATAAATGAAAAAAGTTATTCTTAGATCAGTTCCCAAGCTGGTTAATAAACACTGAGCCTGCTGTGTAA